TTCCGGTTCCTGCGGTCGTTCCCATTAGTCACCAGAGGCTCAATATACATAAAAGTTGCCATTTTTTTCATCTTGTATTTTTTAATCTCTCTTAGCTGTGATTGAAACGTGTGTTATTCTATCTACGTTCTTGGGCCTTTTAGTTCCACGAGAAATAAAACATGGTGTCAGGAGTGGTCGAAAATTGCTGAACTGCTCAACGTTACCGTATCTTCAGCTTACTAGGCCGGTAAATAACCTTATTTCACTTTCGTCGGAACCAAGGCAGGTTAACCAATCCCAACCATGGACGCTCGACAAGCGTTCAAGAAGTTTAAAGCACGATGCAAGCTATACTTTCTGGCCCGCGGAAAGACAAATCGGAGAAAGGAAAACTATCTTCTTATCTGGTCGAGCGACAATGGAATCGAATTAATTTCCGAGTGGGCTTTAATCGCTGAAGAGTAGACGAAACTCGATACCGACTAACCGCGCCTCGAGAATTACCTGTCTCCAAAGAGCAACCTCGGTAATCAAGGTACAAGCTCAGGACCTTGAAACAAGAACCTGGGTGAGACAGTGGATTCGATCATTTTTGAAGACAATTCGAATACCGGTCGAAGAATGCCATTTTAGCAGCCCAGATGAGCATATCATCTATGCCCCTATCTTTGGATCTATTTCCAAGCGTATTCAAACCAAAAACCAAGTTCCTAGACAAGGACGCCACTCTTACGCTTAATACCGCTCTGGATATTACCCGGAGTGAAGGGCAAGTAACCAAATCAAAAAAATTTCACCCGGTACTTCAACTCATGTTGACCCGCTGAAACATGATCTTCTCATCAAACCCCACGCAACCAACCCCCATTCGTTTGTTTGGATGCTGCGCTACCGAGCGCGATATATATTCCTGAGCGATGCTTGCCCTGCTTATGATTTAAAATACGATGCATACCTGGAAAATAGAAACATTGAAGAAACGTCTGCCGTTCATCAAAGCCTGACAAAAAGGGAACGACGAAGGGCGGCAACCTAAACCTACGAAAGGGAAACCTTATAGAAAGAAGCATTTCCTTAGCCTTGAGGCTCGTGATCAAAGGAAAGACAGCCCCGAAACATCATTTTCAGAACAGATGTACTCCCATATCTTGCCAGCTAATCAGTTCACAAAGAATGAAACCCAAGCGTTGCTAAAGGTGGAAGTGGCCTCAGATCACAACAAGAAACCGCTCTTGTGTAAAGTAGACACTGAAGCTGAAAGAAACATTATCTTTCCGAGTATCTACAAGTCACTCTTCCCAAATTCATCCTGGACCCCTAGTAGTGTCGCACCATCTATCACCATCATTACTGCCCTTGGTGGACATGCTGTTGGTTATCATGGCACCTGTGTACTCAAGCTGGATGATACTGGCTCCTGTACATCATACCCATTCCGTGCTGTTGATGGTAATGAGCCAAACGTATTAAACCTATCAATATGTACAGATGTGAACCTGGTTACCATGAATTCCAGTGTCACAAACCCTGGAGGCTGCCAAGCCAAGTACTCAGCTTCGACCTTTTATCGACCTAGATCCAGTCGCTAAGGACGAGGTGCTCAGAAAATGGAATGATTACTCTGAAGATGTTACCTACTTTCCGGGCGAATACAGTATAACAGTTGATCCTGCTGTTCCCCCAGTTTTGCACTCTCAACGAAGTGTTCCAGAATCTCACAGGGAACCCTTAAAGAAGGAACTTGATTTATTGGTTGGGTAGAAAATCCAAGCAAAAGTTACCGAGCCAACTGATTGGGCCACAATCAACTCCCTGGTATGCGTCACTATGCGCACTGGTGTATTGCGGCTCTGCCTGGACCCGACAGATCTAACTATCAAAAGGCCGCACAACTTTACACCCACATTAGAGGATGTTCTACCTAAACTTAGTGGTTCCAAATGCTTCTCAACTTTTGATGCACGCAGAGGGTATTGGAATATCAAGCTCACCCGGGAAAGCTGGCTGTTGACTGTTGACTGTTGAAAACCTTTAATTCGCAGTTTGTAACATACAGATTTTAGCGTCTGCTTTTCGGTTTGTGCCCCGGACTTTTACCAAAGTAAAGCAGATGAAACCTGTGACGACTTACCATGTGTCACTGGAATTGCAAATGACATTTTTGGGTATGGCTGCAACAGTGATTTTAACGATCACGATGAAAACCTTCGTGCTGTTCTTTAGCGTGCTCGTGACACTGGTCCTCGCTTCACCCTGGACAAATTCAAATTCAGGTGCACTCGAATTCCCTTCTTAGCCATACCATTGGTGCTGAAGACCTGCATCCTGATCCACGGAAGGTCGACTCCATACTGTCTATGGATCCCTCACAGGCCGTGCAGATCTACAAAAATTCCTTGGGATGGTCCAGTTCCTGAGTCATTTCATTCCTGAGCTAGCATCCATAGGAGCTAGCCTTTGGGATCACCAAGAAGACACGAGACTTTCTTTGGAGTCCTGATCATCAATCTGTCGTAGACTGCATCAAGAAAACAATCATGGCCACTACCTCATTGCAGTACTTTGACAGCACCCATACTGTAACCATTCAAGTGGATGCCTCACAGAGGGGTTTAGGAGCCGTTCTCCTGCAAGCCAATGGTCCAGTGGAGTTTGCTAGTAAGTTGCTGACAGTCTTTACTTTAATATTTAGAGGGAAATGTTAGCTGTTTTTTTTGGTTCGGAAAAGTTCCATTACTATGCCTACGGCATAAGCCACTAGAGGCTATCTTCAAAAAACATCTGTCAAGTGCACCACCCCGCATCGCTAGGATGCTGCGCATACAGAAGTACGACATGCAAATGCGTCAGCTGACACTTTTTCAAGAATCATCTCTTGTTGTGGTAAGTCGTACAAGGGTTTGATGTATCTGTATGCGAGGTCCATCGTCATCTTAATTCAAGCCTAACGAGAGTGTCCCAGCCTGAAAGAAACCGATAAGGATACAACCTTATAGGTCCGGCGTGAAGTCATTATAAATGGATGGCCTGAAAAGAGATCTGATTGCCCTGCCTATCTTCATGCTTACTGGAACTATCGCGATGAGTATACTGTAGTGGATGGCCTGATCTTTTTGGGGACGCGTATTGTCATCCCTGAGTGATGTTCTGAGAAAGTTACAGTACGCCCATCAGGGTCCCGGGAACTGCAGGCCCAGGGTAAAGGGCTCAGTATTCTGTGCAAACATCAACCATGATATTAAGGAGCTGGTTAAGAGCTGCCCCTCCCCTTGCCAGCGTCATTAGAAGTTGAATGCCAGGGAACCTTTGCTGCCTAATCATGTACCGCAGAAGCCATGGCATACTTTAGACTCTGACATATTCTCCTGGGAGAATGCTAACCACTTCTTAGTTATTGACTACTACAGCAAGTTTCCTGATGCCAAAAAGCTTACTAACATCCAGTCGTCCGTGATCACTACATACCTGTCTTCGACGAACATGGGATCTCGAGTAAGCCGGTAGTAGACAATGGCTCTCAGTACACATCTGCTGCTTTTCAGGAGTTTAGTCTTAAATACAGATTTACTCATCTCACATCCATTCTACTTTGTAACGTTTGATAAGTATTTTTATCAAATAAGTAAAGACATTATTATAATTATAATAATATAATTCCCCCGTATTTTTTCGTGAGAGGACAGTGCAAAGTGTGAAAGATCTTTTGCACAAATGAAAGACATCTGGCCAAGATCCTCATTTAGCTATGCTTTGTCTCCGTAGCACCCCACTCTCAATCATGACTTTCCTTCACCTACAGAGCTTCTGAATGGCCGGATATATCAGACAAACCTGCCAGCTGCCACTGATTATCTGCAGTGGAGACATCATGTTAAATTACAACGCAGACAGGATAACCAGAAGGTGCAATATAATAAACCAGCGCAGCGGCCACTTCATTCGTGTTGTCAGAAGATCTTGTTCGTGTCCTCAATCCAGTTACTTGTAGTGGTGCCTGAGTGCCAGGCAGTGTTCAACATGAGGCAAATACCACGCGTTAGCACCTAGTAGCCACTGAAAAAGGTGAAACACTTCGGTGAAACCATCGTCATCCTCGTGCTGCTAGATAGTCTTTCCACTTCCGAAGCAATGAAGTCCCTGATGATGTTTCATTTACTGACTCCATCTCGTATGCACTGATCACGAAGAGCGTAGCGCCAGCAGTGCCCCTGTTTCCCCAGAAAGTTCCGCTTGCTATTCTGCTGAGTCATTCGAATCTGTATCTCCAAGCAGAACCGCGGATCCTTCTGTGTTACTACTTCGTAGGTCCAATACAAGAGTTAAGGCTCAAGATAGACTGAACTTATAAGCATGCAGCTTACAGTGTGAATTTGTATCTGAACATTTGTTTTGTTTTCCTTAAGAAAGTGGGGGATGTCGTAGTAACGCTTAGAAGCCTGTTTCTCCATTTCAGGCCTGCGGCCGTTTCCATTAGTAGCCACGTGCCCAAAGACATATAAGTCATCAATTTATCCATCGTGTATCTTTTCATCTTGCTCGCTTGTGATTAAAATGTATGTGATTCTCTATACCCTCGTACGCCTCCTCGTTCCACAGGATTTACAACAGTTGTTATTATTGTTGACAACCAGACAGACAGACGGACAGATAAAATAGAGTCAATAGAAAACGCAAATGACTAAATGCGACATGTAACACGGATCTGAATCTAATAATCCTAGCTAATACAATGTTGTAACATTAATGTTCATATGAATAAACGAAACGTATGCAATAAGCCATTTCCTAGTTCCCTTTTGCCTCTGTGTCAAAACCAGTCTAAACGCGAAGCCATTCATATGACTTCGGCCTACAGGTTCATTTTCATGCAAATCAAACTCATTTTCATTACAATGGTTTCGCACTTACACTCGTTTTGAAACAGAGGCACAAGGGAACTCGGAAATGACCTATTGTCCCATGCAAAAGAAGTACCGTATTTCATTAATAATATTTTTACTTTGCTGTGTTTGAAACAGCCGTCCCTAACCCAGTGGCTCTCGAAGACCTACCTGAAGAAGTAACCAACAACGACTACATAACCTTGAAATGGACTGAGCCAAAAAGTAATGGGGCACCCATCACTCATTACACGCCCTACTATAGAATCGTGACGTCCAGAGGTCCGGGAGAGTGGACGGAGCTTAAGATGAAAGATGCACTTCAGCTCTTGCTCCGTGTGAAAGTGAATCGAGGCAAAACATATGAGTTTGTTGTAACGGCATCAAATAGTCGCCGCGAGAGTGATAAAGAAAACATCAAAAGAGTCAACGTGTTGGGTAAGTTACAGTTGCTGTTATTACATGTGTTTGGTTGATCGCGTTTCTTATTATTCCGATTAGACTGAACTATTTTTTCAAGGGCCGATGCAGTAGCGCTCTGCTGTGGAGTCTCATGATCGTAGGTATGCGTGACTTTTTAGGAATCCCATTAACCCTGTTCTTGTTGTAAGGGTACATCATTTTTTGCGCACTGCGCAGCAGCACAGAGGTAGCGCAGTGGCGCAGTAGGAATTTCATTACCTCTGTTCTTTTGATGGGTAAATTATCATTAGCGCAGTTGCTCATTGGCGCAATGGTGCAGTGGTGCCGTCACACAACGACCCAGCTTTCGAGTAATACGGTGATGCAGTGATACGGGGGAATTGTGGTACAGTGGTAGAAAGGCTTAGTACCCCAGTAGAGCAATTGCACAGTGGCACAGCGGTGCACTGGCGTAGTTAAGCGCCAATACAGGTACCAGGTGATGCAGAGACGCAGGGACACTGTGGGATAGTGGCGCAGTGGCACAATACCCTAGCGCCCCAGGGGAGCAATTGCGTAGTGGTACAATGCTGTAGTACTGCGCTGATGTAGTTGCGCTGTGGCGTTGTGGCGTTGTGGCGTGGTGGCCCAGTTGTCTTTTGCTGTATTCATTGCACCTTTTCGATCTCTTATGCGTCTCGTAGCTTTACAGGGACAAATTATACTAAAGCAGGCTTTCCTAGTTTGCGTACATCCTAGCAAAGTTTGTAATTTTGCTTGGCAACAGTAAAAAAAGGACTGTGAGACATAATGCAAGTCATCATCCTTCGCAAATGTGTCAAGAGTAAATAAGGCATTGTTGTTGTTGTTGCTGCCTCATTGTGTCCCTTATTCTACCAAATGCAGAGCAATCCTACAAAAAAATAAATATAAAATGGACCCTGTCATTTGTCGGACGAAACACCAAGTAATTGCCCTTTATGATTAGGTTCAAAAGGTTGTTCCCGTGCCACTCATTGCGAACTAAAATTAACTTCCCGGGTTTCTAGTTAGCAAGTCTTGGTATGTATATTCAACGGAATTATAGTACCAAGGTAGAGATGCAGAGAGAGGCACTGTAGATTGTAACAGTTAAGCACGATTGCATAACATGACTTTGAGCTTGAATTTCTATGTAGTGGTTTTTAATCACGACGTGCTAATTATATAACTATTAAGCAAACGAGATTCAGAGTTTCAAAAAAAGGTTGTTTTAAGTTTTTCCTTCAGGGCACTCTCGAATAATAATTATTGACAAATGCTGCATTTACTGAGCTCGTTTACTGGGCGACAAAAATTTACTCTCACACAGAGGTTTGGAGTAAAATGGCTGAGGGAATTTCATCGGGATCCAGAATTTCAAAAAAGATTGTTTTATGTTTTTCCCTGCTTCAGGGCGCTCTTGAATAATAATTATTGACAAATTATGCGTTGATGAGTTCGTTTACTGGGCGGCAAAATTTACTCTCACACAGAGGTTTGGAGTAAAATGGCTGAGGGAAATTCCAAAGCCGCTTTATTTAAAATAACCAGTTTGTAATTGAAATAACAAATTGCAATCTGGTAGAAATATTTTGACCAGTAAAGTTGAGGGTCACCAAACCGCCAAACGGTTTACAGTAGTCAAAAAAGTAAAACAAAATATTATTATTACCTTCGAGGTTTTGCCCTCAAGGTTATTATTACCTTCGAGATTTCGCCCTCAAGGTTATTATTATTGCCTTCGAGGTTTTGCCCTCAAGGTCGATTTTTCATTTTGGGCACTCAGTAGGGCTTGCTTGTGCGTCGACTTCTTGTCTGACATAGCTTGTCCCTACCTGTTAAATTTTAATTTTTGGGTCGATAACATGGCTCTCTATCTATTATTTCTGTCCATCGTTGTGAAGGGAAATTGTTGGTTTCTGTCTTTATTAAGTTTTTCTTTAATGGTATGTCTCTAAAACGTTCTTTGAGGCTTTTGGACAAGGCTTCTAGACACCCATCCTCCTAAAAAAAAGAGGCGGGCTCTGCAATGACCTCAGGGGCTGGAAATATTAATTCAGCTTCTCCAGCTGCTACAGGCGTCAAAGATAGATTTTAAGTCACCTTGCAGACGTTTCAGAAATAAATGCGCTAGAATGCCCCATTTGAGACAACAACCGCTATGTTGAAAAACGTGTCGAGACGAATTGAACTCGCAAAATTAAGAACTACGCGTTCTTTCGGTTGCCTTACCGGTAGAGAGAAACCTGAGGGTTCTTACCGTACCGGTCGGAATTCAAATAGAAACTTCCTCACACAATGAGAAATCCGAATGAATGGACGCGTGCTTGGGAGAGGTTACTAAGCAAGAGCCTCGCTGTGAGGGGATATGGCGCATCAAGCATTCACGTTCCCCTAATCCCTACCATTTTATGTTGTTACATGCCATCTCCAGTAATTATAAAACTATAATAGGATAAAATAACTTAAGTTGGAAAAACATAAAAATTCTGTTCGCGTTCAAATATTCCATTATTTAAATTTTAAATGACTACCATGTTTAAATGTTATAACAGCGCGAAAATTTCCAAAACCAGTAAATTTGCTTGCATCGATGTCTGTTGCTTATGCTGATATTTTTGTTGAATTTTTTCTCCATTTTACCACACAAACCCAGGTGTGCCCAAAGTGGTTAAACTGGATGAGTTACCCAACGAGATAGACAGTGGAAATATAACTCTAATGTGGAAGGAGCCAGAAAACAATGGAGCAGACATAGAAAAGTACACTGTGTACAAAAGACTCGTTAAATCTCAAGCTCAGGAGTCAAAGTGGGAGGAAGTTGCCACTACTCGAGTTCGAGAATACATCATCGAACTAGAAAGGGGCAAGACATACGAATTTTGCATTACTGCAACAAACAAATGTGGCGAAGGGGGAAAAGAAAATACGTTCCAAAGAGTTACCGTTTTGGAAAGTAAGCTTCTAAACTTAAATGTAGTTGCAAAAGATTATTTATGTCTGTACCCTGTACTGGAAGGGCCTTTCTCACCAATTCATGATCATAAGCAGAAAGTTGTTGATACTTGCTTCCAGTGCTGCGATGGTTGATAGACATTCGTTAAAGTTTTTTGTTATCCGATTTGTTTTTCTATACCTAGTTTTCGGTGGCTACGGTCCACCTTCATCAGAGTTGCAATGTTAAGGTTCGTTACCTTCCGTAACATTGCAACTTTGTTGAAGGTGGAAGCAAAGCCACCAAAATCTAGGTATAGGAAAAACAGATCGGATAACAGAAAACCTTCACGAATGTTGAGAATTGGCGCTTTTGTTTGGAAAATTTTCTAAAGGTGTTACCTAAGGCACAGAGTCAACGAATGGTAACTTGTTTTCGTGCTTACACGCAAGTGGAAACCGTTCTTACCAATGATAATAAGTCCATTGCGATCTCTCACGAAGGACACCAATATATCCATTAACAAAAGTACGTGATTAACCGTCAATCACTTTACCTTTAGTCAAGAGTTGATATTTAAGTGACCAGCTCTAAAACACGTGCACTAATAAGTTATGATAAAAGACCAAGCCATTGAAATGACGGTGCATAGTAAGCACGAATAGGATGCTTTTACGACAATTGGAGGACTTCAAAACACTCTTAATGTAAGTTATAAAGCTAGCATACTTCAATAGACCTCTTTAGCTTGGGCGGTTTGTGTCCCATTTCAGACCATGCGATGATTTCCTGAGAATTCTTGTTTCAAATTTTCAAATAGTCGCGTGTGTATCAATGAACAATGTTTAGATGGATGAAAGAACAATTCTATAGAGAATATCACAAGGTCTGAAATGGGAAAACAAACCGCCCAAGCTAAAGAGGTCTATAAACAATTAATGACGGTTCCGAGTGAGACAGTTAGTTTTGTTTGCTGAGAATCTCAATGTTTCTCAAAGCGATGTGGAGTGATCGGGGTATTGCCTTTTTTGCATGCTTCCAACTTTTTATATTACATTATTTTGGCAGTCGGACTTCGGGTTTGTACATATACGATGCAGCTACTCGTTCAGATTAAGAAAAGTTATAGTTGTCGGCCTAACATGAGAAAAACTGGGCAATGTGTTGAAGATTAAGCGACTGCAACCTACCTTCTTTCAGAATTTCAACAGTTATCGTAACTTTCTAATCAGTTGGCTATTTCCTAAACTTGAAAAGATATTTACCCCCATGATTTCTTTTATACTCAGCCGTTCCAATGCCAGTGCAACTGCTTGAAGTACCTGACAAGATCGACAAATGTGACTTTCTTTTGAAGTGGAAAGAGACACGTGATAATGGTGCGTCTATAACAAAATACACGGTTTACCAAAGGACAGTGAATGGAAATGGTCAAATGCAGCTCTGGAAAGGCGTCCATTCTTTCCTTGCTTACGAATATCATGTGCTCAACTTGGAGAGGGGTGAACTCTACGAATTCAAGGTAACTGCCACAAACAAGATTGGGGAAGGGATGGAAGATGAACAGAACTTCAAACAAGTCAAGGTAGAGGAGGGTAAGTTTATCTGAACAGCAAGCTGACGTTTTGACAAACTTTTATCATGCAAGTGGCCTACGTTCTATGAATGGAATTGCCAAGATTGCCAAATATTTTTGCTGTGGCAATTAATACCATTTAGCCTAAAGTTTTCTTTGTTAATACTTCTGGGGGAAGAGGGCTGTTTGAGACACCCCTCTTCATGTTTCTGTCAAAGGATTTACTCAATGGTTTAAAACTAGTATGGCGTTTAAACTATCCCACCTCGCACGCTCAGTGACGTCAAGTATAAAAATGTCTGCCATCTTGGGTTTAAGATTTTTATAAAAATGTAAAAGAAACAGTCTAAAAATGATTCTCAAAAAAAACCAGAAAATTATATGAAGATATAAAAAATGTTTTAAGATTTTGAAATATTATATTTTTTCATAAAATCAGAAATCTTACAAAAACAGAAATGCATACTAAGAAACACAAAATTTCCATAAAACACTTGCAAACATCTTTACCACAGACACGTCATTTCATGCGATCAACTGAGAACTTATCCACCAAAATCCTGATGCTAACGATTTTTTGTCCAGTCTTTGTACACTCCCTTCATGGCACCATATAGGGTTTGAGCCCGCGTGGGAGAAGAGGAGTCCAGGATAATTTGCATGCACATGTTTCAAGCGAGGTAGTCAGTGTGTGTTGTAGAAGCGCGCACCAGAAACATCATAAAACAAACAAAATTACACCTATTGTGCTGTTGCCATGACAACAATTTTGGAGCTGGTCAGGTCTTAATTAAGACTGAAATTCCCAGTTTTTGTCTAAACCAAGGATCATCCACTCCCAACAATGTTATGAGGAGAGTTAAGACAGTATGAGCACCATATGTGCTTCGAATGGAACCTACTATCCCACTTTAAAGGGTTGCAAATAAGGATTTTTGGGTTTTTGACATAAAGAGACTGGAGCCATAAAGAGACTGGAAATGGCACAACCAGTGTCATTCTTTATCTTTTGTGATGTACATTTCTAGTGACAAGCTTGAAGAACTCCGCTCCAATACTTCAAGAGATATTCTTGATTCAGTGTTTTACTGTTTTTGTGGCACTACCTATGACGCCATCACTTTCCTCATTTGCACGATGGAAAAACATCAATATCTCTAAAAGCCGGTTCTCTTAAACGGGCAAAACTATTCCAAAAAGGAAAATGCCACACTTTATTTTGAAAAGCCTTTCAAATAAGCAGCAATTATTTCTTACTCCATAGGCACTTTAAAAAAAATCAACTGTGAAAACATTATTACTGTATTGATTCGAATTTCGTAGTTCAGAGGGGGTCCTTATTTGTTTTGAGCATACCATATGAACATGGTCCAATACTTTAATGAAAAGCATCAGCAATATTACTTTCAGATAAGAATGGACACCTCTTAACCCTCTGAAATACGAGCAAACTCTTACCTTCACCTTGGTACAAAGATCCACAAGGGTAGGGGAAATAGATGGAACCCTTCCTCTGTGTTTTCGCAAGTTTGCTAATTAGGCACAGCAAAATAAATTTTATTGAGTAGATGGCCCTGAGTTCGCTCTACGAGAATCCGCAATTTTTTTTGATTGGTGACGTGGCATGCACCTCATCCTTTTACGTCCGTGGGTCAGTTTCTCCGTGTAATTAGTCTTTTTAATGTCAATGTCTTTTTCGCTGCCAGAGGCGTTTATTAGAACAGGGGCGCTTAAAAGAAAAAGTAAAATAAAAAAAGTACTCAATGGAGAGCGCATCTCACAAGGGAGCGCTTCTTGGAAGGGGACGCTTAATCGAATCACTTCATCCCCATTAAACAAAAGAATTGCCTTCAATTGCTTACTAAAATGGGCGTATATTAGTAATCTCTCGTGAAAACATACCGATAGATCGAGTGATTAAAATATATAATTAACAGTCAATCACTTCATCTTAACTCTAAAACCAGTGCACTGACGAGTAGTGATTAAAGACCAGTCCGCTTCTTGTTTCGAGGAACTTAATGATGGTGCCTACTAAGCACGAATAGGATGTTTCACGACAATTGGATGACTGGAAAACGCTCTTAACAAAGTTTACAAAGCTGGCATATTTCAATAAACACTTAATGACGGTTCCGAGTGAAACTGTAGGTTTTGTTTCCTGAGAATCTGAATGTTTCACGAGGCGATGTCGAGTGATCGAGGTATTGCCTTTTTTGTACGCTTCCAGCTTTTCATATCACCTTGGTTTTGCAGTCGGACCTCGGGCGTGTATATTTATGAAGCTACTCATTAAGGTTAAGGAGAGTTATAGATCTCGGCCAAACGTGAAAAAAACTGGCCAATATTTTCAAGATGAGGCGCCTGCAACCTACCTTTGACAATCTCAACAGTTACCGTAACTTTCTGATCAGTTGCTTATTTCCTAAACAAGAAAAAATATTCATCCCCATGTTTTTTTTAATTTATTTATTAAGCCGCTCCAATGCCAGTACAACTGCTTGAAGTACCTGACAAGATCGACAAATGTGACTTTCTTTTGAGGTGGAAAGAGACACGTGACAATGGTGCATCTATAACAAGATACACGGTTTACCAAAGGACAGTGAATGAAAGTGGTCCAGTTCAACCCTGGAGAGACGTCCATTCTTCCCTTGCTAACGATTATCATGTGCTCAACTTGGAGAGGGGTGGACTATATGAATTCAAGGTAACAGCCACAAACAAGGTTGGGGAAGGGATGGAAGATGAGCAGTACTTCAAAAAAGTCAGGGTAGAGGCGGGTAAGTTTATCTGAATGGCAAGCTGACGTTTTGACATAAATTTGCCATATAGGTGGCGTACATTCTATGAATGCATTTGCCAAAATTGTCAAATATTTTTTGCTGCGGCCATTAAACAATCAATCAACGCAATTGCCACTACTATTTAGCCTAGACTTTTTTCTTTGTTTGTGTGTCTGAGGAGGAGAGGGCTGTTTGAGACACCCCTTCTATGTATCTGTTAAAGTACTTACTCAATGGTAATAAAATTTGTATGGCGTAGAAACTATCCCACCTTGTGCGCTTTAGTGATAATCGGGTGTCAATCACTGCGTCAAATCACGCCATAGTGACGTCATGCATAAAAATGCCTGCTATCTTGGGTTTACGATTTTTTGAAAATGGAAAAGAAACAGTCTAAAGATTATTCGAAAAAAAAAAATCAGAAAATCATATGAAGATACAAGAATTGCTAAGATTTTGAAATATTATTTTTCTCTTATATTGAATGTCTTTAATAAAGACCGAATTACATACTAAGAAACACAAGATTTCCATAAAGCACTTGCAAACATTATTATCATAGACACGTAATCTCATGTGATCGAACAACTTATCCACCAGAAACAAAATGTTCATAAAATACTTGCAAACATCGTTACCATAGACACGTAATCTCATGTGATCAAAACAACTTATCCACCAGAATGTATCCTGACAGGAGCCTCTATTTATTTATTTATTTATTTATTTCTTTATTTATTAAGCCGCTCCAATGCCGGTGCAACTGCTTGAAGTACCTGACAAAATCGACAAATGTGACTTTCTTTTGAAGTGGAAGGAGACACGTAATAATGGTGCATCTATAACAAAATACACGGTTTACCAAAGGACAGTGAATGGAAATAGCCAAGTCCAGCTCTGGAAAGGCATCCATTCTTCCCTTGCTTACGAATATCATGTGCTCAACTTGGAGAGGGGTGAACTCTACGAATTCAAGGTAACTGCCACAAACAAGATTGGGGAAGGGATGGAAGACGAACAGAACTTCAAACAGGTCAAGGTAGAGGCGGGTAAGTTTATCTGAATAGCAAGCTGACATTTTGACACAAATTGACAATGTAAGTGGTGTACATTCTATAATGCAATTACCAAGACTGCCAAATTATTTTGCTGCGGCCATTAATACTATTTAGCCTGGACTTTTTTCTTTGTTTGTGTGTCTGAGGGGGGAGAGAGCTGTTTGAGACACCCCTTCTCATGTATCATGGCACTATTTACTCAAGAGTAATCAAACTTGTATGGCGTGTGTTGTAATACTAGATGTGTGTAGAATGTGTGAATCACTCGGAATAATTAATCTATGAATGCGTGCAGAATTTGTGAACCGCTAGGGATATTTAAGCTATTAATTATCATTCAAGTTCAGTTGAGTTTAACCGTCGTTCGGTTTTAATGTAAATCTTTGTGTCAGTCGCTTCGCGTTCAAGAAAGTAAAAGCTAGAGAGTCAAATAGCATGAGGAAACAGGTTGTAAACTATCCCACTTTGTACGCTTTAGTGATAATCGGGTGTCAATCATTACATCAGTTACACCATAGTGACGTCATGTGTAAAAATGCCTGCCATCTTGGGTTCAAAATTTTTATAAAAATGTGAAAGAGATAATTCTAATTAACAAATTGACGTCAGTTTTTTTATGCGTGTCCTCTTATTGATGATAAATTGGGTCATAACATTGTCAATGTTATGACAATGTTATGACGAAATTTATCAGACGCATAAAAAAACCGACGTCAATTTGTTTTTTACAAAAACAAGACCCCAAAATGGTCAAATGCCGGGAATAAATGAAAGGAAAAGACGCCGTAAACTTTCCGTAAACAAAGATAAGTGAATTTTATTCAAAATGGCGCGAACATTGTCAAAAGCCTTTCTCGCTTAAACTACGGTGTTCATGACAAAAAACAAGAAACATTGTTGCAAATTGCGTCCAAGCCAACTCAATGTACGCGCACTGAAACTAGGAACACAGGAACAGCCCGAAACGCTCCTAAAGAAATCAACCCTGACCAAACATGACTACTTTATTGATTCGATTTTCATAAACATATGAACGTGGTGCAATACTTTAGTGAAAAACAACAGATACTTTGACTCAATTTTTAATGTAACGTTCAGATAAAAACGCAGACTCCTAAGTTCATTCGTCTAATTGGCTTTTTTTATGTCAATGTGTTGAATGTCTTTTTTGCTACGTGGGACGCTTAGTGGAAGGGGCGCTTATTGGAAGGGGCGCTTATTGGAAGGGGCGCTTATTGGAAGGGGCGCTTATTGGAAGGGGCGCTTATTGGAAGGGGCGCTTATTGGAAGGGGCGCTTATTGGAAGGGGCGCTTATTGGAAGGGGCGCTTATTGGAAGGGGCGCTTATTGGAAGGGGCGCTTATTGGAAGGGGCGCTTATTGGAAGGGGCGCTTATTGGAAGGGGCGCTTATTGGAAGGGGCGCTTATTGGAAGGGGCGCTTATTGGAAGGGGCGCTTATTGGAAGGGGCGCTTATTGGAAGGGGCGCTTATTGGAAGGGGCGCTTATTGGAAGGGGCGCTTATTGGAAGGGGCGCTTATTGGAAGGGGCGCTTATTGGAAGGGGCGCTTATTGGAAGGGGCGCTTATTGGAAGGGGCGCTTATTGGAAGGGGCGCTTATTGGAAGGGGCGCTTATTGGAAGGGGCGCTTATTGGAAGGGGCGCTTATTGGAAGGGGCGCTTATTGGAAGGGGCGCTTATTGGAAGGGGCGCTTATTGGAAGGGGCGCTTATTGGAAGGGGCGCTTATTGGAAGGGGCGCTTATTGGAAGGGGCGCTTATTGGAAGGGGCGCTTATTGGAAGGGGCGCTTATTGGAAGGGGCGCTTATTGGAAGGGGCGCTTATTGGAAGGGGCGCTTATTGGAAGGGGCGCTTATTGGAAGGGGCGCTTATTGGAAGGGGCGCTTATTGGAAGGGGCGCTTATTGGAAGGGGCGCTTATTGGAAGGGGCGCTTATTGGAAGGGGCGCTTATTGGAAGGGGCGCTTATTGGAAGGGGCGCTTATTGGAAGGGGCGCTTATTGGAAGGGGCGCTTATTGGAAGGGGCGCTTATTGGAAGGGGCGCTTATTGGAAGGGGCGCTTATTGGAAGGGGCGCTTATTGGAAGGGGCGCTTATTGGAAGGGGCGCTTATTGGAAGGGGCGCTTATTGGAAGGGGCGCTTATTGGAAGGGGCGCTTATTGGAAGGGGCGCTTATTGGAAGGGGCGCTTATTGGAAGGGGCGCTTATTGGAAGGGGCGCTTATTGGAAGGGGCGCTTATTGGAAGGGGCGCTTATTGGAAGGGGCGCTTATTGGAAGGGGCGCTTATTGGAAGGGGCGCTTATTGGAAGGGGCGCTTATTGGAAGGGGCGCTTATTGGAAGGGGCGCTTATTGGAAGGGGCGCTTATTGGAAGGGGCGCTTATTGGAAGGGGCGCTTATTGGAAGGGGCGCTTATTGGAAGGGGCGCTTATTGGAAGGGGCGCTTATTGGAAGGGGCGCTTATTGGAAGGGGCGCTTATTGGAAGGGGCGCTTATTGGAAGGGGCGCTTATTGGAAGGGGCGCTTATTGGAAGGGGCGCTTATTGGAAGGGGCGCTTATTGGAAGGGGCGCTTATTGGAAGGGGCGCTTATTGGAAGGGGCGCTTATTGGAAGGGGCGCTTATTGGAAGGGGCGCTTATTGGAAGGGGCGCTTATTGGAAGGGGCGCTTATTGGAAGGGGCGCTTATTGGAAGGGGCGCTTATTGGAAGGGGCGCTTATTGGAAGGGGCGCTTATTGGAAGGGGCGCTTATTGGAAGGGGCGCTTATTGGAAGGGGCGCTTATTGGAAGGGGCGCTTATTGGAAGGGGCGCTTATTGGAAGGGGCGCTTATTGGAAGGGGCGCTTATTGGAAGGGGCGCTTATTGGAAGGGGCGCTTATTGGAAGGGGCGCTTATTGGAAGGGGCGCTTATTGGAAGGGGCGCTTATTGGAAGGGGCGCTTATTGGAAGGGGCGCTTATTGGAAGGGGCGCTTATTGGAAGGGGCGCTTATTGGAAGGGGCGCTTATTGGAAGGGGCGCTTATTGGAAGGGGCGCTTATTGGAAGGGGCGCTTATTGGAAGGGGCGCTTATTGGAAGGGGCGCTTATTGGAAGGGGCGCTTATTGGAAGGGGCGCTTATTGGAAGGGGCGCTTATTGGAAGGGGCGCTTATTGGAAGGGGCGCTTATTGGAAGGGGCGCTTATTGGAAGGGGCGCTTATTGGAAGGGGCGCTTATTGGAAGGGGCGCTTATTGGAAGGGGCGCTTATTGGAAGGGGCGCTTATTGGAAGGGGCGCTTATTGGAAGGGGCGCTTATTGGAAGGGGCGCTTATTGGAAGGGGCGCTTATTGGAAGGGGCGCTTATTGGAAGGGGCGCTTATTGGAAGGGGCGCTTATTGGAAGGGGCGCTTATTGGAAGGGGCGCTTATTGGAAGGGGCGCTTATTGGAAGGGGCGCTTATTGGAAGGGGCGCTTATTGGAAGGGGCGCTTATTGGAAGGGGCGCTTATTGGAAGGGGCGCTTATTGGAAGGGGCGCTTATTGGAAGGGGCGCTTATTGGAAGGGGCGCTTATTGGAAGGGGCGCTTATTGGAAGGGGCGCTTATTGGAAGGGGCGCTTATTGGAAGGGGCGCTTATTGGAAGGGGCGCTTATTGGAAGGGGCGCTTATTGGAAGGGGCGCTTATTGGAAGGGGCGCTTATTGGAAGGGGCGCTTATTGGAAGGGGCGCTTATTGGAAGGGGCGCTTATTGGAAGGGGCGCTTATTGGAAGGGGCGCTTATTGGAAGGGGCGCTTATTGGAAGGGGCGCTTATTGGAAGGGGCGCTTATTGGAAGGGGCGCTTATTGGAAGGGGCGCTTATTGGAAGGGGCGCTTATTGGAAGGGGCGCTTATTGGAAGGGGCGCTTATTGGAAGGGGCGCTTATTGGAAGGGGCGCTTATTGGAAGGGGCGCTTATTGGAAGGGGCGCTTATTGGAAGGGGCGCTTATTGGAAGGGGCGCTTATTGGAAGGGGCGCTTATTGGAAGGGGCGCTTATTGGAAGGGGCGCTTATTGGAAGGGGCGCTTATTGGAAGGGGCGCTTATTGGAAGGGGCGCTTATTGGAAGGGGCGCTTATTGGAAGGGGCGCTTATTGGAAGGGGCGCTTATTGGAAGGGGCGCTTATTGGAAGGGGCGCTTATTGGAAGGGGCGCTTATTGGAAGGGGCGCTTATTGGAAGGGGCGCTTATTGGAAGGGGCGCTTATTGGAAGGGGCGCTTATTGGAAGGGGCGCTTATTGGAAGGGGCGCTTATTGGAAGGGGCGCTTATTGGAAGGGGCGCTTATTGGAAGGGGCGCTTATTGGAAGGGGCGCTTATTGGAAGGGGCGCTTATTGGAAGGGGCGCTTATTGGAAGGGGCGCTTATTGGAAGGGGCGCTTATTGGAAGGGGCGCTTATTGGAAGGGGCGCTTATTGGAAGGGGCGCTTATTGGAAGGGGCGCTTATTGGAAGGGGCGCTTATTGGAAGGGGCGCTTATTGGAAAGGGCACCTATTGGAAAGGGCGCTTATTGGAAGGGTTGCGAATTGCAAGGGTTGCGTATTGCAAGGGGCGCTTATTGCAAGGGGTGTTTATTACAAGGGGAGCTTATTGGAAGGAGCGCTTATTATAAGGGACGCATATTGAAAAGAGCGCTTATTACAATAGGGGCGCTAAATGGAAAAGAGCAAAACAAAAACAGTACTCAATGGAGAGTGAATATCAGAAAGAAAGCGCTAATCGGACTGGGACGGTAAATGAAGAGTCATTAAAGCAATAGTTACATGTAGTATAGGTAATCACATGATTTTCGAAGAAATAAGCACGAGTACATTGTTTCAAAGGCTAGCAAAATTTGTAGTCTGAAATTTGGAGTTTTTTTTTTAATCTTGCAAATTTGAAGTACTTACTCATTCCACATTGCACGAGAATAATCATGCGGTTACTTCTTAATAATTCGCGCGATTGTCTACACATTGTTTGCTTATTCAGGCTACGGTATGTTTGGTATTCCAATACCGAAAATATTTGCATAACTTCTAAAGCTTTCGGCGAGCTTCGTGAGATCTTTAGCAATCTTCGTAAATCTTGCGCAATCTTTGGAAGGGTTTGGGTGATTGTCGACCGTGTTTCAAAATGTTCGCACGATATTTCTTGATCTTCGGAATGGTTCGGGTGATCTTCGGGAGTACTTGGAAAACGTACAATTACCTTCTGCTGTCTTCGGATGGCTTCTGGTGAAGTCCCTTCACCTTCTAAATACCTCGGATTACCGCTGTGTCTTCGTACCAACTTCGGATATCTTTGTTATAATCTGCGCTTGTGTTTCCAATTTGCGCTCATGTTTCAAATTTGCACTGGTGTTACTTGAAGACTGCACTTCTTTTTAGCCAATCAGAATGGAGCCATTTTTTCAACTGTATTATTAAAAAATGAATAAACCGTCAATTGCTCACTAAAAATGCCTAGGTTCACGTGGAATATTCGTCATTTGGGCGATTAATTTGAACTCTAGTTTTTCTCAAGTTTTCATCATGAATTATAAGATCTGAAGATGACGGCTAGCGGTTGGTGTTTTGGCTGTTAGTTTTAGTGAATATGACCTGACTAAGTGTTTCAAAAGTTGTGCCGCTGGTATTAAGCTTGTAGCGCACGCACGATTCGTAAAGTTTTGGGAATGGTTGACTTTCACAGAAAACAAAATTGTCTTATGAGTTCTTACGCGGACATTCGCTAAATGCTTCATGCAAAACAACAAAGACGACAACAAAATGGAACCTATTAATCTCATATTTTGGAATTTCAGGCTTTTATTACTGCTACAGTCAGGTTTGTGGTGATGGTTGCTATTTTCTCGACAGACAGTCAGACAAACAAACGAAAGGAAGTCAATAGCAAAAGCACATGCCATTGCTTAAGTGTAATGTATCTAAAACTAGCGCGATGTTATAAAATCCATAGTCATGAGCATAAAACGAAACAAATGTGCAAAGGAATAAACTTTATTTCTAATTTGTATATACTTTAATGTGTTTGAAACAGCTGTCCCTGACCCAGTGGAGCTTGATGAACTACCTGAAGAGGTAACCGACGAAGACTTCATAACTTTGAAATGGACTGAGCCAAAAAACAATGGAGCACCCATCACTCATTACACGCTGTATTATAAAAACCTTACTAGAGATGACAAACCCTTGCAAGGGACGATGAAGATTGGTACAAGTCAACTCTTGGAACAGCGTGTGGATGTGGCTGGAGCCAAAGTATTCGAGTTTGTTGTAACGGCATCAAATGGTCGCGGCGAAAGTCGCAAAAACAACACCAAAAGAGTCAACGTGTTAGGTAAGTCATAATTTACGGAAAACGTAAAAAATAATTTACGATCAAGGGAAGAATTGTCTCTGAAAATTGTTAAACATTTTTAAACATGGCAACACCAAGAGACGGTAACAATTGTTTACTGCCATCTCACAATATGTTGCCTCTTTTCAAAATTCAGTTCCTTGAACGCGTGATTGTTGAAATAAACACATTGCTATTTCCCCTGTTTCCTTTGTCAATCGATCGTTTACCGTGGATAAGGACATATCTTACTCCTGAACATTAAATGAAACGCTTTATAACAGGCACTTCTTCTTTTCAGAAAAAACGGAACTTGTTGACTATCTGCCTCTGATTCTCGTAACATTGGTACTTTTGGGGGCTATTCTCTCCAGGTAATAAAAAATCCTACATTGCTATCCAATCTGTTCATGCTGGTAATTAGTTAATACCGGGTCATGTGGTGTGGTAGTTTTTAATATAATTTGTCCGGTTGGAGTATAATTCGGAATCCCACGAGCACACTTCGCGAGGTCCTCATCTGTACTGTCCCGCAAATGATACTCAAATTGCATCGAAAATGATCCCAGGACCGGAAATAGTCGCCTCGCCATAAAGGATCGAAATGTGTGGACTCGGAAATTTGGACATGGGATTTTACCAGGAGCCATAATCGGGGACGGAGACCGTAAGCGCGCGCCATTTCTAGTATTGGGGTTGTCCCCTTTGTCCCATATCATAGGTGCGCGCGAATCCCGAGACTTACGGTCTCCGTCCCCGATTATGGCTCCTGGATTTTACCTATAATCCATTATTTTCAAGTTGTTCAGAACATGCGGGTGAAAACATCAAAATCACTAATCAAATTACCGTTGCCAATCAAATTACCGTTTATTGTCATTACCAATTCAATGACCACATCAATTACTGGAACAGACATCCACTTTAAAAAGTCTACGCTAGATGTATACGAAATTCACATGCACTGAAGCTAGACAATGTCTTTTTGATTCGGAAAGTGTGTCGACTAGGTTCATGAGATTCGCCAATAGACTAAATTCCTTTTTTTTAAGAATGTGTTTTATAAGAATATCGATCGAGACTAAATTTACGAAATATGATGGCGTAATTTTGGAGCCAGACTGCCGGCAATATAGCCTGATATAACACACATAATAACTTTTCTAACATAAACTGATGTCATTAGCATCTAACATACGATTAGTGTCATTATTGTTATTTGCTCAATTTTTGGCTAGTCTCAGTTGTCATTAGAGAAAGGAAAATTTTTAGATTTAGTCAAAAGCGCATAATTGCATTGTATTTACAAATCTTCCACACACAAAATTATAATTTTTTTTCACAATCGCAGCCTGGGATTTAGCCTTAAAATTTATCAAATTTTAGCCTCAATATTCTTATAAAAATATTTTCATTTAAAAGAGAGTGTAAACTAGTATAATGTAAGCAAGAAAAAACGCAACCTCGTTCCCAGGGTCTCTCTTCTTCCCACCCCCTCGCTCCGGGGGTGGGAAGAAGAGAGACTCTAGGAACGAAGTTGTGAAAAACGACGACGGCACTGAAAAAGCAAATACAAATTCGATACATAGAAAGTTTAATCTTAAGAGCCCTCAACGATTATAGAAAATATTGGCAGTTTGTTCAGAGCGTGAACTATGAAGGTTTTTCACAGTTAACCGTTCTTTCGGTGTTCTTAATCACCACAGGAAACTGACAGTATAAAATGATGGAGCTCTGCTATCCTTTCAGTCCATGCGTCATGTGCTATTTTGAGCCAAAGGAGGCAATGGAAGTGGCCTGGAATTGTGTCGATCTTCGAGTTTCCCAAGTCGATCAAGAAAGGAAATTTACATTGAAGACATCGAATATTGAAAGTGTCAACAAAAGTTGATCGAACGAATATTTTTTAAATATCTCGGAAACTTCTAAATATTACAACCCACCTAGACGGGGAGTGTGAATGTGTGTGTGTGTGTGTGGCGGGGGGATGCCATCCAGGCTGGGTTACACTAAGTCTGTTACAGGTGGGTGTTCTATTTTTCCTGTCGCATTACCAGTTCACATTGGTGACTTTCTGTTAATATATAGTGTCCGTATTGTAATGCAGATGAAAGTGACTGGCGTTTAATCTATTATTCTTTTAAATCCCTGAAGGTCCATTTGTCAAAGTCTCCCTGATGCTGGCCGGTCGGCAAATGAAAAAAACGAAGACCTCTGTAGCAAGAAACACCCTACTTCCGGTCTATAACGAGGCGTTCGTCTTTGATGTCCCAATCGATCGCCTAAGTGACGTCAGCTTGCTAGTGCGCGTGCTCGACACATACCACGGAGATGGGAGGCGGCCTCAGACCCGAACTATTGGCAAGACAATTGTAGGACCTGATGCCCAGACAAGCATTGGTTTGCATCACTGGAACTGTATGATGACAACTCCCAGGAAACCCATTGCTCAGTGGCATCCACTGGTAAAGTCGTGACTGACGATCAAGAATATCATCAGAAAATTTACCAGTAACGCTTCTGTGACTAAATGTTCTTTTCAGTCCCAATACCTCTGGTTTTTTTGTTACCTCGGTAAACTGGACGCGAACGAGGTCAAATGTTATTTAAATACAATATGATAGCGCTCGAGGTTCGATTGCTCTTGTTGTATATATTCCACTGAACATTTTGAAAATCAAGTTAAATACAATTTCAGACCTGACCAGAAGGGTCAAATTAATGGTTGAACAAATTTCTGAAAAATGAATGTAATTTATTGGGGTATTTTTTGAACTTTTTTTTTTTTAACTGTTTATATTCTAATATATATACTTGCATATCCAGCGTAATGTTTGGGTTTTATAAAATATTTTGCTATAGCCAAAGTTTTTGAACGACATAAACGGAAAATTTGATGAGTTACTGCTTTTAATTAAATGAATTCAGGTGGAGTTTTTCGGGGAACGGTTTGTAAGGTATCGAAATATTTGCTATTTGAAATAACTTCTTTGATGTACCATGTGATAATTTGGAGAAGAAAGTTTGGTCCAAGGACCGCATCTTATCGGTTATGTGGTCGAGTAACTGAGAGATTGCGAAAATAGACCAAACAACGAAATTTATTGCCTGGTTGTTAGTTTAGTTATTTATGTATTTATATGATTTACAACTGTATTTACACGTTGGTTTAGCACTCCGAAACAAATCTTTTGCACACTGCGCTCTGCAGTATCCTGATCAGCGGTCTTTACAATCAAGAATCTAATACCCGGAAGAGATAGTTACATCGCTCAATGGGTTACATCAATTTTTTT